TTCTACAAAAAATAAATGTGTTTGCACTTTATTTGAATATGTAATTGTTTTTTATTTTATGTATAAATGTATCTTTAATTTCGTCGTACTTTATACCGCCTGAGCACATCTACACACATTCGTCTTCAGTCAACTCTGCTTAATAAGCAATACTTCTCTCTTTATCTCAACACTGTCAAGCTTGTGACAGGTAAATAGCTAAGATTATTAAAAGTTAATCATTAAAAATTAATCCATACTCAGTACTGGATACTGGATGTACCAGCCTAATACAAATAGTCAATCAAAAATTCTATTATGTTTTCATAAGTGAAATTTCAACATTACTTAAACTTCTTTAGATATAAGGATGTTTATTTAATTTTAATTATTTATTAAATTTTTTTAAATTTTGTTTAATTCTATCAAAGCTTTGTTTTTATCCTTAAGCAAAATAGCAAAATAAATTCGAAAACCAAATAAATAAAGTTTATCAAGAGTATTTATCAATTTTAGCAAAGGTTGCTTTAAAGCCACTGTGCATGGCATCAGCCGCATTTGGCCAAGCTATCAGTCGATCTCTGTCATTGTGTGAGTGTCGGTGGCGCCTGCTCTGTGACTGCGGAGCTTATGAAGCGCCGTCTTTGGCGGCAGCATTTCATGTGGAGATTGCCCATATGCTTCCTTGGTTGCCTTTTGCCGTCTTCTTGGTCCTAATTGGCGGGCGCGACCCTCGGTGCCTGTTGTCTGCCGTTTCGGGAATGTTTGTTTATTTATTTAGCGTCGGCATTGAAGCTCACTTCAATGAGCATATCATTTGCGTGGAGTCCCTCGCTTTGCCCATCTACGGCATCGACCCGAGAGTGTTGCCTACTGCCAGACCTATAGGCTGCTGTGCAAAGTAATTTCCGTAATGAGTTCTGAGCACTCTTCCCAAAGTCTGTATTCACTTAAAAGTGTTTGAAATTTGAAATTTCATTTCAGTTCGTGCCTGAGCAAAAAGCAATCATATGACATGTGCATACATATGTCAAGTTGGTAAAACGTAAATTGCTTTTGTGCCCGACGGACGCCTTTTATACCACGTCCTCGGAACGGGTGTTTTAGTTGAGTGTCAAAGTGTGCGACATTTAATCGCTTTCCCACGTTGGGCGCCAACGCAATTTAACGCGTTCACGATCAATATTTTTTTAGCGTTTCAGCTAGTTTTAGTATAATGTTCATTCATGTTGCTTAAATTATTTTGTTATGTAGCTGTCAGGGTAACTGATGTAGAGGGTATCACATAGTCGAGTGCTCGACTCACATGCTTCGTTCTTTGCCGTTTGCTGTTTATGTAATGCGATTAATTTTGATTAATTTTTTTCGTTTTCCACAAATGTTTGAGCATTTTCGGGAGGCCATTTTCCTTTGGCTTGCGTTTAATCTACTTATGAAATCTTAATGCATTTAAAATTGTTGGCAAACTTTGCGCCACATTGAGCGTTTTTTAAAAAATCAATCATGCGACATGTGGTGCTGCAAACATCCTTAACGCAATGGGCATAAATCAAATCTATTTTGCTAGACAAAAAAAAACACAGCTACAATTTAATTAGCAAAATATGCGCACTTAAGCACTAAATAAACACTTTGACACAGCATCAATTACCAAAGTGAACAACTAGACAACAGCGCTGGCCCAAGCACTTAATTACTTAATTTATGCCTGAAGCGACTTGCCTTGGGCGCTCGGTTTCAGTTTGGTGGCTCACTCGAGGCTGAGGCGCAGCTTTCGCGAAAATGGATTAATTTGTTTACTACACAGCCGAGTGGAGGCAGACAGTGTGCCCAGAATGCCGCCACTGCCAGTTTTGGGGCACTTAATGGGCCGACACGTCGGGTAGTCGGGAGTACCGCTCGTCGTTTGGCATACTTTTTTTACACTCTAAACCCATTGAAAATGGGTGAAAAGGTTATAATGTATTTGTGCTATAATGTATTTGTCTATCCGTCCGTCCGTCGTATGTATGAACGCAAGGATCTCAGAACCTATAAGAGCTAGAGACTTAAAATTTTAAACGTAGGGCCTATGATCGATAACTTGCTCCCGTTTCCAAGTAAACGATAAAACTCGAAATCCTGTTTTTTGTCATTTTATAATTTTGATTTTCTTTTTAAATTTTGTATTTCTGCTAAGGCAAAAGCGCTCGTAGCGCGAGCTGAATTTGGTTTGGTAGTAGAGGTTCCAGGGTATCCCAGAGTTGGGAACGCCCGACTAGAGCCTCCTACTTGTTTTATCCTACAGTCATTTAAAATTTCTTAGAAGAGGGCATAATGGTTTTATGAAAATCTATGTAACAATCAGAGGGAAGCATCTTCGACTGCATTAAGTAAAAATAGCTCTAGCCCTGTGCTTCCCTCTGTTACGAAAGCAATAAGCACAATATAAAGATAATTTTTTTTCTTCTCCTTAGCTCCGCCCACTTTCTAAATATAATTTAATACAATATTAGCATTGATTTATAAATAAATTACTTTCGAAGCATAGCTGCACCTCATTCCCGTCTCAACAAAATCAAATATTTTAAGAGGGAAGGCCCTGCTCTTCGTATATGTACAGATTTTACTGCCATATTTAAGCGCTGAAAATTTCATAAAAATCAGACAATAAACAAGAATGCATATACCGTGCAGTGGGGCCGAGGGGGACCGCTGCGTAAAGTGCACAGATTGTGGAAGGGTGTGTGTGTGCGTGCGTGTGTATAAAAGGAAGTCGGAATGGATACAGAATATATTGACAGGCACACTATACTAAAGCACCCTTATTTGTATTGATATCGCATGAGTATAAAAGACTAGGCCACATTGAAATATTAAATTGCTTAAAGTGTGTTGTCCGCGACTGTAGTCAACAGAAAAAACTGAAAGTATAATTAAATGGGATTATCAGCGTTTTACCCAACCAAGACAATTAATCAAATTACATCCACATACATGTAAGGGATAGAAAAAATTAAAGAAAAGAAGACATTATTCAGACTGATGAATCGCGCTGCATTGGGAAAGATATATAGCCTGGAGAGCACACAAAACTTTTCAATTAAATCACTTTTATTACTTTTATGTTTTACCTTTTTTAATTTACTTCAAGGAACTTGAACTGCTTTTCTGTAGTTTCATAAGTTGTAATAGTTAAGGCTTAAAGATGGACTCTTCTATGCCTTACTTCTCTAGCCCTTTTTTTTTAATCACAAGTTGGCCAAATGCTTTAAGGAACTTTAGCAGCTGCCGCGCTGCTGACATCTGCAGACCAAATTGATCTATCAAATTCAAATAAGTAACCGCAGAACTCGCCGCACAGCTGTCGGCACAATCCGCAACTAGCCGAAACTTTCGTGTCGAAAGTTTTAAAGCTTTCCCAAACACTCGCACTCCGGCTTTCCCTTTCTGGTGCACATTATTTTTACGCATCGAAAATTGAGTTTAATTTCAGCGCAGGTGTTTCCGCACCCATTGCGCTCCTAATGTTGGGTTTTGACGCCGTTTCCTTTGGGATTTTTGCTTGGCCCGTCCGTTTTGCTGTCGTTGTTGCTCCCCGTTGGACGATGCTAATTAAAAGTTTTCGCACAACTTTTTAGCGTGGTGTGTCGTCATTTTGTCAACGAAACTCGCCCAAATTTGCGCCCAAACTGTGCCTTAAATTTCCAACAGAGCCTGGCTGACCCCAAACGGAATAAATATTAAAACTTTTTAATTGAAGAAACAATAAAACTGATAATAAATGAAATTAATGACAAAAAACAACAAAAACAAAGAACATTAGAAAAAAGTTTTGTCGAAAAATAAATGTTGTACTACTTTCTATAGCAATCGGCCACAACTTGGCATTTATTTGGTTAAAAAGCTCAAAAACACAAAATATTTAATAAAAAAATTCAATTATTAATGCATTTGTGCAACAATTTATAATATTTGCAAAAACAAATTGCATTCTAAGATAAAATATATATTTTATTAAACTCAAACATAAGCCAACCTCCTTAGTCCATCAGTCAAGCAAGGGTGAATTCTGGGCTGGGTTTTTGGCTAAGGGAATGGATGTTGAATTGTTTTAGACGAAGTCTAAAGTCTTAAAAATAATACTATTCAAGGTAATAAAACATTTGATTGACTACACGAAGCTAATTACATATTGGGAAAGGGCTCTCAATATAATCTTCTTTTAAGTTTTGTAAACTTTTCAACTTTAACTTTCAAACATTTTTCACTTATTCCGTTTTACAACCGCAATGAGTCAGCGCTATTCAGCTTGTGATTTATGCTCTTCTTTTTATTTAAATACACAACATTCCACGCTCTTTTCACGCGCTGCTCCTGCCGCCCGCATTCAATTTGAAAATGACAAATTACCGCACTATACAAATATTTTATGTGAATTTTATGACTTTGAACCACAGCGAGAATTCACAAAAAACCAAAAAAAAAAAAAATAGAGAAAAAATGTTTTTATGCGCATTGCATATTCATTAGAGATAATCATGCATTAAGTGGTCAACGCTCCGGCGAGTGGCCCTCCAGGCTGGCTGGTCTATGCCCAGGTCACGTGCCACGCATTACGCTGCGTATGCGTCATATGAACTGACCAAGGGCTAAGCCTTCCTAACTTTTTTTTTTATTTATTTGTTTTTTTTTGCCGCTGTTCACGTTTTTCCGAAAAGGTAACTGCTTTGGCTTGGGCTTATAAATAATATTGCCATAATTGAGCAGCGGCTAAATGAGCTTGGGCCGCGTGCACGTTATGATGATGTCTGTGCCGCTTGCTTTATGCCGCGCCGCTGGTTTTAATGGAGGTGCCGCATTAATTTTGCATTTGTTGCAGCCTTTTTGACGGGGCCATAGCAGCGGGCGTCGGCTACTGCTCCTTGCCCGGGCGCTTACTGAACTTTCTGCATAATTTTCTCATAAAAAAACATGGCCAAAACTGTTACGAGCACATTACCTGAATGTGTCTGCCTGCATATTCCCATTGCTTTAATACATTATAAGTTCGACGCCCCCACGGTATGCCGCACTTTAAAAAAGTTCAGCTGTAGCTAAAAGGATTGGCGCCACGCTTGAAATCAATGAGTGCCCATTATAGAGATATCCATTAAAATAAACTTCCTCTAATTAGCTGCGCTTTCTTCCGCCCATTAAATGCCATAATTGGGAGTGGACCAAGGACATCTAACATTTTGAGGTGAATATTGTTTGAACCTCGTTAAGCTGGGTTAATTTTAGATTTAACGGATATCTGTATCAATTACTGAAGTCATTAAAACGTTATACGTTTAAACATTTATACTGCTCACATATTGTATGTTTAATATTTATCAATTTCATAATATGCTAATTACTTCGGTCCACAAAACTTTCAAATTAGCATTTATTGTGCTGATTAAAAGCTTTCACTTTAGCACACTGGTCCACAGCGTATTTGAGGCCAACTATATTAATAGAAAAATGTAACAAATGCTGAAAATCGGTAGCTTTAACTCGTACAACATGGCAAAATTTTGATCAATGCTAAATAATATGAATAATATTTATGATATATTACGTGCTTTAAGTTCCAAAGTTCGATTGATTTACTCTCGTTTTAATAAATTTAAACAATAACAATTCATCTTGTGCTTATCCCATAAATCTTGGTTCTTTCTTATTTACAGCACTCTCTTCTGGTTTTTTTTCTTTTCTTTGTGTCACTGTATCAAATACAATCCAAATTTATTTTCTCTAGACTCTGATTTATGGTTTTGAATCCGTGTGTAAGCAAAAATATGGATTTCGTTTGATAAGCGACATTAATTAACTGCTGAAAGGAAGTACCTACAAAAATAAGCTACTTATAACGTCAAGAGTATTGATATACAATTTAATAACCTGATTATACTATAGCCTACATTTCTTACATTTACGTACTTCACATTCGGCGGTTTCTTTAGTAAGCAGTCTCAGCATTTCATTTCGTCAGTGACATCATTGGAGTCCACAGCTAAGAAGGAAGCTGTTAGAAGAGGAAATATAATTCTTGAGTAAAAATTAAAAATTATCTTAATTGATAATAGAGTAATAATAATAAATAGGATAAGGGGGCGAAAAAGTTGTTAATAAAAGTGAAAGAAATTTCTTCGATTATATGGAATATTAAGTGGGTAGGTAAAAAATTTACTCGATGAATTCATTCAACGCGGTGGGTGGAATTTAAAGCCCGTCCGGCAAGCTATGCCCCAACTCATAGTCAGTGAGGTGGGGATAAATGGCGATAGTTCCTGGTAGGTCTAGCGGAAGCAGAGAATTAAAAATTAAATGATTTGTTGTCGAAATCTATGAGTTTTCCGCGTGTCAAATATGTGAGATATACTTGACATACTTGACACTTTTAACATTCGGCTATGAAACTAAAAATATTTGTATTTATGTAGACTAGTGTCTTTTATAGCTATGCTAGCAGCGGGTTAAGCAACCAGCATGTGGCCAACCCACATCGACTGTTCATTATTATGTCATGCATTATTATCAGAAGTTGTAGAGGCTGCGTTAAGGCTTTGCTGCTGCAGACATTTACGCCTGAACGAGAGCAGCTTCTGGTTGCAGGCGTTGCGGCCCGGCCCGTATATGTGCCACATTGTATCGTATATCATGATTTGATGTCTGTGGTCAGGCCATGACAATGGTCAACAGCTGTCAATTGTTTGACTTGCGGCTGACACTCAGCACTGCGAAAATTGATAAGTTTAATTAAATTTACATGGACGGTGTGGAATCTGCCCGCAAGGCAGCGTTTCATTAGTTCCATGCGAGGCAACATTTCATTAGTTGCTGCCGCTGCACAAAACGGAATTTATTCGCACGTCCCGGCCATTTGTAGGCCACATGCCAGTTGACGCCTGCTCGCATACGACCTTGCCCATCATTCGGGATGACGACGACCCACCCAATATCGTTTCAATAAAGGGAATATTAGCACAAATAAAATATAGAAAGGGCAACTGGAAATGCGCAGCCTGCGGCCATTTTCGTTGGCTGCAAACTAAACAAAAATACTCACAGAGGCTGGGTTGGGGGTAGGCCAGCCCTGGCATGCCAGGTATTTGAGATAAGAGCCGGGCTGTGGGTGGCGTTGGGCGTATTAAAGATTATGTCACAGCCAGCCAAAAATATGCGCCAATGGTATTTTTATATTGTGCGTCAAAGTATTTAGGCAATCGGTCGGGGCGGAGCAGACCCAAAAAGCCGCAGTTAATCGTTGGTATATTTAATAAGAGCTTTAAAACCAGACGCTATTTTGTGTTTATCGGCTTATCGGTTTATTCAAAAGCACAGCAATTGACCCCTAAAAGTGTGGCCTTTAAAGTTTATCGTTAGGTTCAAGTGTGAGAGTTTCTCACTTAGCTTACCATGAAAAGACCCCCATCTCTACTATAGAATACCTATTAGGCTGCTCATGATAAGAAGTTAATAAGCTGGGTGGCTGAAAGAACGGTTAATATCGGCAAGCAGCTAATTGGTTTTCTCCAAAACTAAACCGGAAAAGCCTTTTCCTTGAAGCCTCTTAATTAATTAACTGTCTGTGTGTGCTAATATTTAATGAGCATAACGTGTTCCAATTGGCGTGTAACTCAATTTTCTTCTCGACATTGTCGCCAGGCTATTATCAGGTAACGCCCACTGTTATTTGCCTATTTTCGGACATAGATCCACTTATAATGTCGCCGTGTTGCCAAGCATATGCTGCTGCTATTTTCCGGCTGTCACTTCCGGTCAGTAGTCGGGGTGAATAGTTGTTGCAGGTATTGTTGTTATTGTAGCTCCCAGCGGCAGTTGAAGCTTTTTTTTGTAGTGTAAAAAGGATATCCGCCCTTGCCTAAGGCCTAACAATTTAACAATTTAAGACCAGGATTCTGTCGACTCGGCAGTTTGTGTGTTTATTTGCTTCCACATTATGTGGCAACAAGATTCTCAACACTTGATTGTGAACTCTAATGAAGCCAAATTGCTATTTGAAAGTTCTCAAATTTGTGTTTTCAAGCAAATGTCAACAATTTGTGCAAATTGTTGTTTCTCATTCTCGTTTTTCATAACAATGGACACGTTCAGTAAGCAATTTCCAGCAATGATACACTTTGTTCCTTTTTTCGGGCTAAAAATGTCCCTCCTTTTATCATGATATATTTAGTCTACAAACACATATCTGTAATTAACTAGTGACATGTTGTTTGTAATATATGTATATGCACTGTGGACATGAATCAACAATGGCTGCGTTCAGCTGTCGGAGTCGCGTACTGTGTGTCAGATATTATTAATGAGAATCCATTTCTAATTACGCACTGCATCAATCAAAACTTATGTTAAAAAACTTATGTTAATAAATTACTGATAGGCCTAATTAGAATCAGTCTTTCCTTTTAAAATGCTTAAAAAGATAATTAAAATGCATTAGACTTATACTCGACTTGATTATTGCTATAGGAGAATTCGTAGACCTCGGTAGACCCCAAAAGTTGGGATTATTTTCCCGAAAAGTATGGAGAATTGTACAAATTTATTTTTAAGCCAACTTGACTAAAAATTCCGCCTTTAAAATTCAAAAATAAACAATATACCTTTTTCAAGTGCTTTATGCAAAAGTATATAAAAGTTGCCGTTATAAAATGCAGACCATAAAAATATGAGAGTTCGTTTTTTTTTTTTGGTTTTGAAGCGTGCGAATGAGCAGAAAATTTCCATAATCTTGCATTTTAGTTAGTTTTCTGGCCAAGTTTGTAGCTTTAATTGCCAGATATTCACATTTTGTATGCCAGCACAATTCGCCCTTCCTATACGTGACCAGCACTCCCCATTGGCCCAGTCGAACAGATTCGTTTTGGGCAGAGTCCGAACTGCTGTTGCCCCTGAGAGTAGGCAAGTCGGAGTCGGACAGTTGGCGAACAACATTTTCGCACGCAACAAAGTGTGAAATGGGAAATAAACAAATGTCTGGCTCATTTTTATGTACGTTTTTACTGTTCATTAAATTTGCCTAACTGCTCAACATTTATAATTCACTTTCGCTTGAGCATGCTTATTTATTTCCCTTCTTATTTTTTTTTGGCATTTTCTGCGCTACTCAACGAGTTTCACTTGCGTTTTATTTGCAGCAACAGCAACAGGACAACAACAACAACAACATGCAACCAGAGCGGCTACATAGTTGAGACGTATAAAAATGCGTCCCCACAACAACAGCAGCAACAACAGCAGCAACATCGTGTGAAATTAGCGGACACATCAATTTCATCTGGCAAAGGCGACTTAATTAAAAGGCATTGGCCAGCAGCAATTTTAAGCTGTTGTTTGTTAAAATTAATTGCAATTTATTTGGGTGCTCGCCGAAAACAAATTCGGTCACTTTCTTTTTTAATGCTGTCACACTGAGCAGTTGGCACACACACCCACCCAACCACCGACACACACACACAACAGAGTGTACGAAATGGTGTTCGGTATAGCAAAATGCATGCTGATGCTGCTGCTAATGGCGTGCGCGCTGTGCCAAGCGCAGCAACAATTGCAGCTAAAACAGGAGCAACAGCCACAGCAAAATTTGAAGCTACAACACGGGCTACAATTGGAACTACAACAAGAACAGCAACAACAATGGCAGCCACAACATGAGCAACAGCAACAATTGCAGCTAAAACAGGAGCAACAGCAACAACAGAAATGGCAGCTACAACAAGAGCAACAGCAACAGCAACATTTGCAGCTACAACATGGTCAACAACTACAGCAACAGCAACATTTGCAGCGACAACAAGAGCAACAGCAATTGATGATGAACAGCCGAAAAGACGCATCACAGCAATTAAAGCCGTTGCCAGGTATAGATGGAGGGACAATAATGACGGTGAGAAGTCAAAGTTCAGAGCTGGCCGCGTTACCTTTAAGTGGCAATTCGAATGCAGCGACTACAGCAATGCCGGCAACGAAAACAAGAGCAGGCACTATAAAAAATGATGAGGGTCAAGCCGAGGCAGCTGTTGCCGCTGGGAAAAAACTAAAACTGCCTGCAACAGAATTGAGAAAAACAGCAGCAATATTGAATCCATTGTCAACAGCAGCATCAGCTATGCATACAAAAAATATCTCATACGCAATAGCGGCGACAGCAATACCATTGAAAACTAAACGCATTGCGCCCACAGCAACACCGACTTCAATAGCAACAACAACAATGTTGGCAACAGCAACAACAAATGCAACGGCTGTTGACAACACAAAAGTCAAATTAAATATATTACAAAGCGAGGCAACTGCAAATGCAACATTGCTGAACGTAGAACCCATCATAAAGGCCAATAATAAAAGTAATTGGCAAACAGCAACAACAGCTGGCGGCGCAGCAGCAGCAGCAACAGAAAAAACAACAGCAACAGCAGCAATTGAAGGTAGGCCGCGCTGGCTGGGGGCCACAAGCTTGTCGCCATTGAATGCCAATATATTGAGTAATCCGCTGGCCAGCAGCGCCCCGGCAACTGGCTCCGGGTGGCCAGTGAAGCATGCCGCCGTGCTCGAGGGCGACGTGATACTTGGTGGCCTGATGATGGTACATTCGCGGGAGGACAGCATTACTTGTGGCCAGATCATGCCGCAGGGCGGCATTCAGGCCCTGGAGGCCATGCTCTACACACTGGACCAGGTAAACAAACAGCAACTGCTGCCAAATGTAACGCTCGGCGCACATTTACTGGATGACTGCGACAAGGATACGTATGGACTGGAGATGGCTGTCGATTTCATAAAGGGTAAGTGCAGCTCGCATCTCTTCCGTATCACCCCGCCGTCCCAGCTGAGCGCGATAATTGCGCTGTAATTTTGAATATTTATGAGGCGTGGCATATTCAAAGCGTCAACGCTCATAAAAATCGTTTGTTATTGTTGTGCATTTTGCGTAATACTCGGCGAAATGCTGTCCATTAAACAGGCACAACAGCGAAAAGCCATTCAAAATGAATGCGACTCGCGGCACTGTTGCCACATTCCGATTACCCCTTGCCCGCTGTTGCATTTAATTAGCATGCACTGAACCCCCTCGCAACCCAACCAATCCCCAGGCCGTCAGGGCTGGCTGAAATGTGTCCAAAGCAGCTTAAAGTTGCTGCACGTTGGCGAGGATATGGACAAGTGGACCTGGACATTACTTATGTTTTGCTTGTTGTGAATTCCATTTTGGGGTGAAGACTTTCCGGCGGAACAAAGGTGATTTATTAGTCTGGCTCCAACTTGACAAGACTTTAGTTTCAGAAAAATCACTAGTCACCAGCAAAAATCCACTATTTAAATGATCTCGGTGGACAGGGACACGTGCGTCACGAGCCAAAAACTTGGATAAACAAACAAGCGTGCTCTAGAGCAGGTTTGCCCAACTAACAGATACCCCGTACGGTACATACAAAGCACTAAGCGGAAAGTCTTCAAAATGACCTTCTCACATGCTCGAGCCACAGTTTGAAAGAAACTATATGTATTCAAAAACTCTTAATCAATGGGTATGTTTACAGAGCATTACGCAGTCGCTTCCAACCAACTGCGGCATTTTTAATTGTTTTTTGTGCTTTAAATGCCGCGAGTATGTTGTGTAATTTAATTGAACTGAAAGATAAGTATGGGAAGGCCTGCGCACATTAGGCCCGAGGTGAAAATTAATTCAAAGTTAAATGCTACAAAGGAGGTCCTAGCGCAAAGTGCTCGTAAAGGAAGCGAATAATAACAAGCACATATTTTTCTTCTGAAAATTTAGCAATACATCAATACCTAACTTTGAATACACGGTGAAAAGGCTAGGAAACTTCGTTGAGGGGAATATAAATAAGAGAATCTTTTTGTCTCAAAAGCTATGATGAATAATCTAAAACACAAGTGAATAGTGTAGCGAACTACATTTAATTTCCTAGGATTTATTTATTTAGTTTTTGTGTATAAACATGTATTTTTATATTTTTTTCTACCAAATATTTAGTTTGCATTTTAACTAGAATTCCGCGGAAATTATATCTAAATAATGCACCGAAAATGATCAATTTCTTCGAAATTCGACGCAATTCCGTTTAATTAGCCCAGTTAATCGGATTAGTTTGTATATTAGCGAGCGGCATATATGGGCATAGGCTTTTTCTTTTTGTTTAATTTCCGTTGACCAATTTGTGAGCAGCAGGCGCGACAGATTTAAATTTTAAGTATTGTGTGAGTGTTTTATTTTTTAATTTTTATCGGTTGGCCGCAATGTTTCAATTGCCTGTGGCATGTTAAATTTCATAAATTGAAATAACGCTGCCAACTGACGCCTGAACGCGCTGAAAGTTGACATCATGAAATATTCAATTTAATTTTTATATTCACTTTTGTTAAATGTACATAGCACATGGGTATGGGTTGAAAATCAAATATGAGCAGAGCTCAGTTAAAATGCCAGGTGCAATAATATTTTTATGACAGTGCCATTCTTTATTTACTACGCCCAAGGCAAATGGAATACAAGTGCCAGTGCATACATGAGACACAAATAATTTTCAATAAATGCTGTGGGTAAATTATGCTGACAATGAATTAAAGAAAGCAAATGAGAGTGCTCCTTTAATACCAGCCCGACTATCAGATATGCTGTTTATGGGATCTGTCACAAACCGATCAGATATGGCATGTGAAACAAGAAGGACTACCCAGACTGGAAGGTACCCAGCAATATAATGGCCAGGTTGGCCTTCGTCAATTATTGGGCAGCTTTCTTTGGTTCTTGTTCGTGCTTTAAGCCCGTCGCATATGCTAATGGATTTTGTAATAAATTGCGTAAACATTTGCAGTTTATAGAATAATAAGGAGTGCGGGAAGCAGAAGACATTTGTAATACCTATAGAAATGAAAATTTGCAATACATCAGACGCAATAAAATTTACAATATTTAGGAAATTTGGGGACCTGTTCTAAATTTGAAGTCTCTACTGGCTGATAGTTCGACATATAATGAGTTCAAAGGTAACATGGTATTTTTGAATCCAATGCCATCGACTGCGCAATACTCTGTTCAAATTGTTACAGGAACTAAAAGTGTATGTTAAGTAATGGAGATAATAACCTAACCTAACCTCCCCAACCGCGAGTTGACTCACAACTCTATTGCATTTCTGATCCCAAGTATAAAATCCGCCATTCAACGTTCTTTGTGAAAACATTTTGCTGTTTGTGAGAGCTTAATTTACAATAATAACATACCTTTAAAAAAAGTAAGTGTGAATCCGTATAAAACAGATTTAAAAATTCCTTTTGCCAATCCCTCGATAACGTCTCAGTTATTGTGCAATAGATTAATATAATATTTATCAATCTTGTGACATGATTAATACAAAATATTAAAGAGCTTGTTTAGTCTCCGCCCCCGACGGTTGGATACAGACAAATAGATGAACGGAGTGACGAGCAAGCCAATATCAAACTAGTGCTTGAGTATATATGCATAATATTAGTTAAATTGGATAAATCTTGATCTGATTATGATGTAAATTTAAGCGAAAATTTAACATGCCCTGTAGACCGCTTAAAACGTATAGGGTATAATGCAAATAATCGCAGCTGTACAAATTAAAAAAAATCAATTAACATTAAATAGCTTCCACCTAAGAGATGCAATTCATTTTGCAAAAGCTGTGCATACAACAGTCAAGTGTCGTTTACACACACACACACACACACACACACCCTCCCATACACACACACACTCACACACACACACACACACACACACACACACACACACACACGCTCGCGCGCTGCTCGTTTAGATAGATAAAGTATTTAACACAAATGTTTACATATTGTAGAGCGCATAGCCTGCTGTAAAACCGCAAACCAGCCGCAAATAAATACGTAGATAAAAACAATATGAGCGTAAATGCTTGTAGATGCGTAAGCCCATTATCCTGCCTACAATAACATAGCGCAGGAAGCCACAGGCTCTATGAGAGCAGGAGGCAAACAAAAAACATGTCTGCTCACTGTGTTAAACCATTTCAATAGAGATGCCAAGTTGGAAAGTGAGAGGGACTGAGGGAAGAGGGGGAAGGGCTAGGGGTATGCAGAGCACATGTGTTTGACAAGTTAGCTGGCAAGTCCTTGCATAGCTTCATTACAATTCAATTCAATTCAATTTGAAAATTCGACAGCGTCATACCCATTGTCCCCAATATTAATACCGACTTTCGTGGGAGGGAATAGAAAGAGGTTATGCCACATGAAGTTCTACATTTGCATGCCCAGGCACGTGTGTGTATGGGTTTATGTCTCAACAACAATGCAGTCGTTCAGTTGTTGTTCCCTTTGCTGTTCGGCACTTGTCATTTGTGCCCAACAATAATTGTCTTTGTAGAGGGCATAGCATTCTTCACGGTCCCTGTCGCTCTTTGTGCCCGCTGCTGTGGCTCCAACAGGATATTGGCTATAATTAGCACTTTGTCAATCCGAGCAGCTGCTTTGTGTGTATTTCAAATAGCAAACTAATTTCAAATAGCAAACTAATTGGGTTAAACAAAATGCATTCGTTTTCATTCTCTTTATGCCACTCTTCCTGTGCACGTGTCCTTTACTGTTCGTTGAACCTTTCGTCACAGTCATTGTCATTTCCTGTTAAGCATTCTGTTGCTTAACAGCCGTGTGGAAGTTGTTGTGCGCTGTTAAGTAATAGACTGAAAGCTTTCGTTTGCGGTTCATGTCCTGGCTATAGTTGGGACCAGGCTACAGCGTTTAGCCCTTAACAGATTCCTTACATTTTTGGGACAACTGTTACTGTTCTTATACATTTCGTCTGGTATCTAAATTTTGAAAATCACAATTTTATTTTATTAAAATTTGCATCAAAATCAGTGAATTATGGACATTTTAAAGATCTTATTGCTACGTAAATATAGATAAATCAATTGCAATATTTTCATTTGTTTGTACTAAACTGCCTGTAAATACTTGCATTTATAGCACCCAAAATAACGCATCATTAATGGCAATAAATGAAAATTAAATTTGGGCTGAATAAATATTCGTGCGGAATTCAAAACGAAATGTGATTAAAAATAAAATTCGAATTTACCATTAGGTATTTGCAATATCATGAATTATATTCATTTCACAGGTGCAAATACATTTCGATTGAATAAAGCAAATTAAATGCCAGTACTTTATTGAATATATTATGCTTAATAATTGCGGTTGAAATGCAGCCTAACACGATTGATTGATTTTTGAATAATTTATAGGTTTGCAATTAAAATCATTTGGATGTAAAGTACGGCCATTAATGCTGTGGAATTAAATGAGCTCCATTTATAGTAAATTACGTTCTTTGCGGCTATAATAGTGCAAATATCATAGCGTATTTATGCGCGTAAATATTATGCATACATGACCGTAAATCGATGAATATAAACTGTTTATATTGGATTAAAAAGAAAAAAACGAAAAGGGGAAAAAAGGAAAACGAATTCCTTTACGATCTGGCGACAGCATCGCCACGGAATCAAAATCCGAATCCGCAGCCTTCACTGACCCAGTTATACACTTGTAAATTGAAATTTTATTTTCTCGTTCCGCACACACACGCACACACGCACACAACCACACAAACGCACACACACGCACACTGGCACACCCTCATCAAAAGGCATATAAAAAATGTTTATTTGCCATGACGCAGCGGCAACTCTGGCAACGCTCGCTTCATATCAGTTTAATTCGTTGCTGCTCCCCGCACCACCCCTCCTCC